CTGATCCTGTGTTAGGACAGGGTGAGTAATCATTTTGCATTGTCGGATGTTGGTACGCATCACATTCATTCTAATTTTCAAACCCTGTTTGAGTCAGGTGTATCGGTAACGTTGAGAAAGTCACTCTAAAACCATCACCAAGTGCACTATTCTTCGATGCGCATAATTCTACACACCACCAAATTTCTGTGCACGTAGATGCATAAGTCTGGTGGTGAGGTGTTGGATTGGAGTGTATTTTCGTGCTCTTCAAGCACTGGTGGAGGTGACCGAATACGAGAGACGCTGATTGCTCCAGGTTATCTACCTTACACCTGGGTTTGCTCGCCACCAATGTTGCAATCATGTCCCTACTAGTCGCAACCCAGGGACAAGAAAAGTAACTAAACCTTGTCGCCAAGCTAAGATCGAATCTTTGCCGCTTAAAATATCATTTCCCTTCGTGCGTGCCTTGTGCCGCACCAGGTCACTGCGTAGGCTATCTTTATCTAACAGAGTCGTCCCGATGCTGGTGCCTAGAGCATTCCCACCCAAACACAAGCACTTCCTTACCTTTGCCAACAGAAATGCTTTCTCAAATAGCAGCACTCCGTGAGGCTGTAAACTGGTCTTCCAGACTATTTGGCATGACGCCGACCTAGACGACGGTTTCACCTATCTAGTACATTCTAGACTAGGTCTGGTTTCAATGCGCAATCAAATTATCTTGTGATAAGTCGTTTGACACCAAATTAAGCAAGTTCAAGTTTTTTGTAAATTTTTTAGGATTATGATCCTTCAAGAACTGACAAAACATGGGAAGTCACAGTGTACAGATTATAGGTACAAAACAGAAACGGTTATATCGTAGCTGCTTTCCTCAGGTGATTGCCATTAAGGGCTCGCTTTACAAGTTTCAAGGAAAGATCAAGAGTACGTTTAGACTCATTCACCACAAGTACGTCAAACGAGGCTGTATCGAGTGCGCATTCAGTCTCTGCATTGTCTATGCCGGAGCTGTAGGTCCATCCACGTGCCTTTCGTGTAGCGGGCGACGCGACAACTCGGAGATGCAACAAAGGGGTGCTCTTATTGAGACTGGAAAAGTACTCCAGGTCACTTGGGCGACGACAGTCCGCAATAATTACCACTGACGGTTTAACGGGGTAGTCTTCATCAAGGTATTGAAGGGCCTTACGACAGAATACAGTGGCATCGCTCCGTCGAAGTTTCTCACCCCAGCGAACCATTTGTCGACGGTAACGCTCCTTGTAAGAGGAAGAAGACATCAATTCAGATAAGTCTAAATTATGCTCTTCCGCAAAAGCACGCTTGATAGGTTCAGAGATGTGAACAATCACAGCAGTCAGTCGTAATTTCTCTTGAATTTCGTCATGGAGAACCTTTGCAAAGTAATCTTTCCCAGACTTTCGTTTTCCGGAGATTGCGATGAACCTGACATCATCCCACTTCGAAACCAGTGAATCTATATTCTGTGTGGAAAATGAAGACTAACATTAATTATTTAACTCATAAATGTGATAGAAAATTCATATTGCTAATTGAAGTTGACGCTAAAGGATAATACATTAATATGGAACACCTATTAAACAGTTGAAAGAAGTATGTTCAACACGACAAAGTCTGTAAGAGATAAAGAAAAAGGGCCAAGCCACTTGTCGACGTGATTTATAACATGAATGAAATGATTTGGGAACAAAGCAATTTAAAAGCTTTGAATAATGGGTTACCTCAATTTCGTTCTGGCTACTTTTAGTTTGATCAGATGAGGAAACTGACGACGCAGAGCACGCCATTTGCGAATTACATATTCCGGGGAAAGTCTGCGAGAGTGTGTCCTTTCCAGGAGATAGGCCATGAGAACGGCCAGTGGTTTCCATCGTCAACACCATGCCCCTACAGAACAGAATTCCAAGATGAATTGAAAAACATTAGTACCATAAAAAAAGTAACTTCTTAAATACGATATACAGAGGAAGGTTTCCGAAATCGGCTTTAATAATTGTCGGCTGTGATAGTGAATTCGAAATGGTATATATGCATATATGGTAGCAACGATGCTTCTAAGAAAAGACCTTGTGACGAGACAAGTAACAAATATAATTGCAAAAATGTGCAGATGCGTACATCCCTTTAATTCAGATCCTTTCCAATTGCAGCGAGCGACATTGGTTCAATGATCAAGTGCGCTAAAAACATTCCCAACATCTTTTATGAAACGAAACGTGAATGGAGGAGTGCCAGTTTGAAAAGAAAGCTCATAAGCAATTGTACCAATTAATAACCAAACATCCCATGTGCTTACAGCGCAGAAAAACATAGAACATGACCCTGCGCGCTTACGACCAGGCATTTATCTCAACAAGAACATGTGACCTGTTAAGGTCTTTCAAAATAAAAGATTTGGTTTATATAAACAAACTTTCAGTTCTTGGCGTAAGCACTATATTTTGTATGCGATTATTTACTACGGCCTTTACAAATGATAACGTTAACTAAATTAATTGATTTTAAATGGCTAATTCATTAGACATTATGAAATCGTAAAACCAATCATAAGTACCATAGCAAAAAATTTTTTAGTTGTTCGTGCAAAGTGCCATAGAAACAGTTTTCACTTGAACTTGTTCGTCTAGTTTTCAGTGTTTCACTAAATTTCGGTCTCATAAAATATTTAAATACTTTTGCCGCCATTTACACACCCAGTACCGTAAAATTGATTTGCCGATAATATTTTGTGAAACATCGCGGCAATAGAAGCACATTACCATAAAAAGAATTAAATGTGTTTATAGCACGTGCGTTTAAAGCGTTTTTTTCAATGCAATCCAAAAAAGGCTTTTTCCGTCACACTCTATATACAAAGGCAAAAATTAACTAAATTAGCCTCTCATCTCTGAGGACGAGCTATCTTATATTATCCTGTTGTCTTCACCTAAAGACATATCCTAGAGAAGTGTGACAGTATTGTCATTTATGTTATAATTATTTTTGTTTACAATTTTTGCATAGTTGTGTGCAGAATTTGTAAATTAACACGACTAAAAATATTCCAGAATTTCATGGTTTGGGTTCCTAAATCACACCATTCCACAAGTGAATTTGGATGTGATTAATATGTGTGAAAACCTGTTCAAATTCGTTTGCTTTAGGTTTAATTGTGGCATTGACTACAATTAACAACTTATTTTAAACGTTATAAGGAAATTCACGGATGCTTACGTAAAATCAAACTCGGTGGATCTGACGCGAATAAATGCTTGGTTTTTGTCATCTTTTTTTTGCCCTGTTACCAGCTATTTTCCAATTAATTAGTGTGCTTGTATAAATGCGAGCTTTAATAGGTGGCCTTGACGTGTTTTTTGTTAATTTTGTGTAAAGTTTTGGTCACTTATAGACACCTATAAGTTGATTTTGAAACCTCTGACCCTATGGCATGAGATAGATATCGTTTCCGTAATACAAATGCCTTGGTCGAATATCTGGTTTATATTACCGCAATTTTACGTTTAAAGGAATGACATGTACCTCCTTTCGTAAATGTCATTAGCATCTCCGAAAAAAAATCATTTTCCAAGTGGACATTACTCATGTGTTTAAAAAATAATTTTTACGTTAAGTTACGATAATGAGCTAATTTCTGTCTGCACTAACTTTGGGATGTTCCAGTAAAGTTATCTGGTTAATTATCAGTGCTTTTAATAATCAAATGACGGTTATCCAAATCATCGTATGTGGCGCTGGTTTTGAGTCTTGTTGTTTTTCAGAGTTTGTTATGGCTTTCTTTTAAACGCAGAGGACCATGTACCCTGTCGTTTTTGAGAGGTTTAAAATTCTGCGTGTTGCTATCATATTGGTCAAACTTTTGTCTGCGGAATTCTTTATCAAGCATACTTTCTGTCAAGTCTCAACAATGACCAAATTGCTCTTGTTCCTATTTGTTTGTAGATGATTTTAACTGAGGCATTGCGCCAATGAAAACGCTTTTAATGACCTTTTTTATTGCTCTCTTGCGATTTATATTATTCAAACCTAGATCTTGGCCGCCTCTGTATTACAAGCGTTAAACCAAGATATGTGGTAATTTTCCCTTAGCATCCCCATTCCGCACAAAGAGGCTTTAATACCTTTGACGAGCGTCAGCACTTCATTTCGCTCCCAGCTGTTGCTTTGTTTTATCCTGATTTACCTGTGTTTGTCATCTAGACCTACATTGAATATACCAAGTCACCTTGTCACCTCTTTTCCGTAAATGCTAATTTGCACCCTTCATTCTCCGTAGCAACTGCCCGGGTGTAACTCCTGAAATGCAATGTAAAAATATCCTTTATCTTTTTTTAATGACACTAGTCAATTTCCTACCGTTATAGTAGAACAGTCTTAAGCATTCATTACAAAATATATTTTAGTTTAAACCTTTGGTTTGAACTTTGTAGATGGATATCGCCAGTCCTCGTACCCCAAACTCAAAGTCTACTTATTTCAAAGGGCAGTTTGATTCACCCCAGTTAATCGGTGATTTTCTTGATGCCCTATGTCCTCTGGCTCAGTCAACAGCGATTAAACCGACTCAGTCTGGCGTCAATGCCACTTATACGGTTGTCCGTAATTCCGGCGCTGTTCCATCTCCCACAATTTTCGAATCGGCATCAACTAGAAATGCTTCTTTAAATGTGCTTGACCTCGACTCATTGCCTACCAACCTTTTATCAATGAGCTCATCCGTTCCCAAAGCATCTAGTTTTACTCCTCTATCTCCTAACAATCCGGAGGAGTATAAGGAGGAGGGAGAGCCGGTTGATATTTGTTTAAACGCTGATGAGTTGCGTCATTTAGAGGAAGCTTTTAGTGACTTGTCGACTGGTGTAAGAAACACTGGTGCAATTGCAACCACTACAGCTGACCGTGGAGGTAATGGATTAACGCCACAATGCCGAGACGACGCAACTAACGTTTCCTCGATGTCCTCATTTTCTTCAGATGAATGTAATGGTGAAACTAAGGTTCAAAACACCGAGGTGTGTTTTTACATGTTTGATTTGCATACCTTGAAATCAGCCCCTGTGAGTATAAGTGTGCCTATTACTTGAAACGGGTTTGTCGAGATTTTGAAGTTATAGAACCATATTTTATTTTTTTTTCAAGGGAACTATCCACCTTGATAAAAACGGTTTTTGATAGGCTTCGAGTACATTAAGACTTTTGTACATATTTACAAGACTGAGTGAAATCCTCTGGATATGTAATAGTTTCTGGTAACATTTGACATGCAGCTTGTGCAACGGTAATCACACACTTGGCGAACGCGTTAGCGAGGAGTAGTAAGCAAGGCTTACGAATGAACCGTCTCAGAGTCCCAATTTTTCCCCTCTTTCCATTTTCTTTTCATCCTATCATCGACGAAATAAATGCGGTTTCTGAAAGTTGCTAAGAGCATTGAAATAAAATTATACTTGCAGTTTTATAGCACGTAATGGCTGTTACTATTTCACCCTCTGTTGCTGTCTTCATGAAAAGAACAATATTGCGTGTGATAATTATCGCAGAACACGAAGCACAGCATGGCGCAACAACAAGTGCACTCTGCGAAAGCAACTACATTGTGGTCACACAACTGTTTCAGAGGTCATCAGGAAGCAGAGCTGGTTGGGGTTAAAATATTGGTCTTACGTCTTAATTTCGCTGCAAACCAATCATATTTAATCATTGGGTGAGGTCCGGAGCAATAACTCGTGACAAATGTTTTGTACTGTACGTAAGGTTAAGGGTGCAAAATACTAAAGCACGTAAGTTTTAAGGCCAGCAGAATCACTTATGACAGGCGGTTTTGTTTCTTAATGGCTATTAAGACGCAATCATGTATTTATATTTGGCTATTGACAAATGATACGGTTATGATACTTGCTTCACAGTTTAAAAGTAATCCTTTAGTTTTGGTTGTTTTTGTTGCTTTAAAAATCATTTTCTATCAAAATCCAAGTCGTAACTGCTGGTACGTAATCAACCTTCACAACTGGTTCATATGAGCCAAGTTTTGAAACAGTACGACCATGCTTTAGTGATATTATCTGATGTAACCTTTGGTATAATAATGCTTTTCGAATTGGCTTTTATTCCTTTGTGTGTGTAAGTAGCTTTATTTTAATAGGGCAAAGAAATTGAGGGTCAAGCAGCGTGCGTTGATGAGAATCAGCCGCTATTTGGTGAAATATCCGAAACACCTACAACCCCGCAAACTATCGCTGCACCAGAGACCTATTTTTATGGTCGACCTCTCTCAACTATCATTGAGTGTCGAAGTCGTGAGTCATTCACGGTATGTTTGGTGGCGTTCACTCGAATATTTACTTGCTAACGCCAGTTATACAAGTCCTGCTAAATTTTTCACCCAGCTATAATCGCACTTTAAGCCTCCAGTCTTTTGCTCATAAAACTTCTAAGTGTGCCTCTTCGAACTAATCCTCAGTAGTAACAGCTTCGTGGCTGGCACTTTGTAGTCGCTTAAAAAATGCTTTAGCTGGTGCATTCTTGTTTCAAAAATACTCTTTTCACGTTAGTTAATTAGTTATTTTGTCCCTCTTAGTGTACATCGGGTTACCAGGGGAAGTCTGAAATCTTCGATGGTGGCGATTTTGGAGGAGTCGACGACACACCTATCAAGTCTTCCTCGTTAGTTTGTGTTTCGAGGCTGCCTGTTAATTCCATCCATCATTCAATGTCAGAGTCTGCGAAATCAGGTATTTTAGTGGTTTTTCTATTATAGATCAAATTAATGAAATTCAAAATGCTTAAAAGAACGGTATGTGCCTAACTCACAATTTTCGTACATCGGGAACTATGTTTGTCTTGTCAAGCAGGCATTTGTCAGTCACCCATCGGCAGTCGAAATCAGGACTTTCCGCTCTCTTCTCGTAAACCCCTATCTATTATGCAAGTAAGTTAATCAGTAAGCTTCACTGATGCGGCTACTTTTAAGGCATAGTGGTGCTGTAGTGAATTTTGCTGATTAATGCCTGTCATCTCCGCCAACTCATGTCCAATTCCTTGTTCTCTCTGCATCTTTACCTCCTTCGCGTTACTGTAGTTACTTGGTAGCATACTTTAGATTATCTGTTTTCTGACCACTTTTATTTGGAGTCATGACGCGATCGTCACGCAGTCAGCCAAAAGTAGTGTAAATAATTGAAAATGGACCTGTTTAGGAAAAATTGGTGTTTATTCTCATTTACTCCTAAGCGTGGTATTGTGTAGTACCCAAGGTTTTTCGAACTTACTTAGAACTGGTTACTAATATGCGTTGGCGTGTTATGTCATCACAAATGCCCTAGGTCTAAACTAGACTGAGCGCTTACTGCGAATTATTCTGTCTCGATAGTTTAACGCCCCATCATCAGCCCAGAGGGAGACCGAACCCCAAATTTCTTCTCTTTTCAATAATGAGAATGAAGAGGCTTGCGTTTCTCTTCCTGCCCAACTACTGTCACCGCCTTCAAGTTCCGTCAATTCAAGTCAAAAAACGGCTATTGCTGACGCAGAAGTTTCCTGCAAATATGAGGACGAAAGCACTCGCGATCAAGTCGGTATGAGATGTCCTCTAATCTGCATATGTTTACCACCTCTACAATCTCGTACACTTTCGTCTCGGTGTGTAGCCTAACTCGTAAGCTAAATAAAAGCCTGAATTGTAATGAAACATTAAGCATAAGTTCCTTAAACCGACACCAATTTTTGTTTTCTATCTTTTAAAACTGCAAACCTCCTTGTTCAGGTTGTTTTATATTGTCCCAATTAAGCGTTCCTGTTTCCAATGATGTTTGTGTATGAAGATGGCATGTCAAGGGCCTCACCATTAAGATTCACTGAGCATTGTTCTTGCTACTAGAAAATTTAGATTTTCTGAGTTCGCTAACTGTTGTGTAGGAGTAACCGGTAGTAGGGTTTACCAAGGGTTGGATCTCGTAATCCATGTGCTAATATCTGCCAAAACTAAAAAAATAGCCGTGCCTTTAAGGATTTCTCTCGGAGTCTGCGACAAGGAGTGATAAACAAATCACCTCTGAGCCATCTCATGTGTACGGCGAGTCCTACCCTTCATCGCGGGTCCAATCCCCGTCCACTGAAATCACTCCTATGAATCACCAGGCCACTAAGAGTAAAGAAACGGATCCGCTACCAGAGCCACAAGTTCCCCCTATTCCCGCTCCGAGGACTTTCAAATGTCTGAGCAATTCAGCTCTTGTGCCTCCACTCGACTTTTCTTCTCTTGCGCTTGCAAATTCCTCTTCTTCTGGCCAACCAGCTGGTGGATCAGCGGAACAACATCACTATTTTACTCCTACAACGAGAAATAATCAAGTAACTGAAACTTCGACCGATGTGTCTGCTGTCACGGCACCAAAGATGTTAGAAGGACTTGAAGATTTAAGTCAGGTTGAAGCGAAGATATGTTGTGAAGTGGACTTGGGGACTTTGACGACTCCCAATGCTTCTGCAAACTTGCCTGATAAATCTCGAGAGACATACGGTTAGCGCATTTTTTAAGATTAGCTCCAACTTGAATTTGTACACTGTTGAATTTTTTTTGACCGTAAAACCCTATCATATTAATGATCTCAGGTGTCATCAGCCACGTGATAGGACGGATTCAACTCATGCATTACTTTGTTGTTGGCCAATTTCGGTTCGCCTATGTTTTATTGGTCAGTATCTGCTGTGGCCGCAAACAAGACACTTGGCATTTCTGGACCCAAACTTGGCCTGCTATCTGTGGTCTTGAATTGAAATTAGTTAGGCGCTCATTTTAGCTCTCGTGTACTTGAAATTGAAGAAAGCCTCTAGTTTCGGATTGATAATTTGTCAGCTACCAAATTTTAGCCAAGCGGTTTTAAAATTCACAGCTGGACTGCCACTTTAACGTTTGATTATTAAAGTAGTGTGTTATTTTGAAGTATTAAATTAGCAATTGGCTGTCAAAACGAATTATTTTTGTTAACGCTTCTCTCAAACAAACTCCCTAGGCGCAAAATCAAGCATCGTACAAGGTTGCCACATGTTGCTATTTTAATAGCATGTATATGTTCATTTCAAATTAAAACTGTGTCTGCATAACTTGATCAAACAAATTTTAATTATCGTAGCCCGCTATCGTATGACATAGTGTCATGATCTCTATTCACAGATGGTGCTTTGGGAAAACGCACTATTGAGGAATTGTCTTACAACCTCGAAGGTGAGAGGAGTCTTGCGTCTGCCTCGCACAAAGCCCATGAACCAACCGAAACCTCAAATACGAAAACTAGATGCCCTCTCTTAGCTTCTTCCCGGTGTCTGTTTTGGCGTGCCGGAACTTACGGTCACGAAAGGTATCCACCTCTTCTCTATCACTGACAAGTATTGTATTTGCCTGTTATACTCACTGAGGAATATAAGTTAGTGCCTGAGATGTCATAAATGCATTGTGGTTATGCATACTGTCACACCGTGTGTAGACCAACTACATAGCATACTTGAACGTTTGCCTCCCCATCATGCTTTTTGCTAATTTACCATGTCAACACATGTCATGTAAGTTATTTTCCAAGCCTTGTTGGACAAGGTAGCATTCTGATTCGACCATTGTTAAAAAATTGACGTCACAAACTGTCGATGCCCTTCTACCATGTAAATAAAGACTCATAATTAGATTTCCTTTTTCATGGTCTAATCCGATTCTGTTCCAGTTATATTGATAGCATGCATTTGAAAAGCATTGCCTCTGTCAGACACCACATGAATTATTCCCAAGAATAAACCAATTGAGAAATACTTGTGAAAAGTGACTGCATAATTTTTCTCTCACGTTCGACAACTAACTTGGTAGAGACCAAGTAACAGATTTCAATTTTAACCTATTCAGATTTGTTGTATTTCTTGGTTTCTTTTATAGTAAACAGCAATTCATTCTGCGTCAGGATTCAGACAATTTTATGAAAGTGAGACTACGAATCACTTCAGGAGCGGACTGCTTTACTGTAAGTTTTATTTTACACGACCCAATTTTCTGTGATTTGCTCTAGCATATTTTAGCTATGGTGAAACTGCTAGATATCGCTTATATTCACTACAGACCTTATGCAGTAACAAAATGGCTCTTTGCACTTTTGCCAAATGCAGTCGAAACTGACGTGTGTGTTTGATGGAATACATATATTTAATTTGTCGTCTATTATAAACTCACTTTCTTTTTTTTTTAAATTTCTACGATTGTCCTGGTTTATTAACTGGACTACGGATTGTTTGTGTAGCCTAATCTAGTCCCAGATACACTACCTCCACCATTGAAACTGGGCCTGTTTCGTGGAAGTTCTAGTTTCATTTTATTGTAATTTCGTTCCTATCTAGAATTAATACTTTCGCAATTGTTTTATAAGCAAGGCATAGCCATTCTAAATAATCAGGGACTCAGTTCGTTTACACACATTGCTGTGAACTGCTACACCTAATATTTACAGCTTGATCTCAGTTTCAAACGAACATCAATTCGAAAAAATTGTATAGCTCGCAGAAATTTTCATTTTCTGTTGATGTTTGTTTGCAAACAATACTGGATTATTTATCAATTTTTCTTTAAGCAGTTGTCTCGCGTTCTGCTGCCTTGATGAAATTAATTACGAGGAAATGTCTATTTGAGTCAGGCGACCTTGTAGTGTTCTCAGGTGTACTCAAGCAATTACTGCTAGCGATTTTTAAAGCATCATTAATTCTCCCCATTTTGATGCTCCATTTAGCTGCTAGACCATCGGGGCCGTCCTGCGCCAAACGGCTCTCGCCTGATTGAGCTTCCCCCTCGTTTAGCCTGCTCCGTGACCGTCGTCTACAAGCCCAACCCACCGTTCTTCTGGCATGCCGGAGCCCTTTCCCTCCGCTTAGTACCCCCGGAAAGTGCCGTGAAGTCGAATAAATCTCACTATTATTGGGTGAGCTTGCCATATTCGAATGGTAAAGGCTCTAAACTTGTCCCGCAAAGTTGGTTTGGTGTGCTCGAATTGTCCCTATTTAACACGTCTTCGTGTCCATTTTCGTAGTTCTAATTATAAATCTCTTGTCTATTTACAGTAATCAGTAGGAGTGGTACTCCATTTGATATCAGTCATAAGGGCAGGGCTAAGTTTATTGTTTAAATAAGCCAATTACTCCTAACCATTTTGCCCAGAGTATGCACATGCTGTATTTTGTGGAAATTGGCTTTATCTGGAGGCTTCGTGTGCGCAAAGGACTGTCGACTCGATTCTGCGGTTTCTTCAGCCTAAGTCGTTGGGGCACGTAAATACCCACGCGCCATTAGACCGCAATGGCCTTACTTGCAGAAATCCGTTCCTTAATTAATTTTGTGGGTTTAAATATTCTACAGAAATTCCAAGAGCTATTCTCGGCTTCTTAACTTATCGTTCCCTAGATCCAATAAGAAACAATAAATTTTAAATGTTTTGCAGTCAATGTATTCACCATGCCCCTCTAAACTTTTCGCCTTGGAATTATTTACTCTCATTTCGCCTAATCAATCTTATGATAATGTATTATTGGCCATTGTTTGCTTGTTGTTTTTTATCAAGCACCCACAAACTAATTAACTGAGTAACGAATTGATTAAAGATTGTTTATTGGGCGAGAAATGTATTTTTTTAGCAACGCCTGATTGGTTACGTAGCTGGAAGCATCGTCCAATGCGACATTTGTCGACGTGTGGACGAAACGACATTCTGGACATCCGCCTTCTCTTCTCCCAACACTGTTGATAGGCCACTTTATTTGAAAAACGTAGAAACGAACGATGCGTCCTACTATGCTCACGTCTCAATTAACAACATTGGTCTTCGTATGGCTTGGGTTTTTGCCGTTGCTATGAGACCAAATTCGGACCGAAGGAGTTCATTAACTCCTCTTCCTGGTGTTAGCGTTAAACCAAGTCGATTCGTTCTGCGGCCCAGTCAATCGCAGGTTTGTTTGTTGTTAACTTTATCTGCATTTATTGTAACTTTTTCATCTTTTGCCCTTGCAACCAGACATTTTATTGTGCATTTAAAAGCACTGTTTAGTTGTTCACTTACCGTTTCGTTTCATCTTGTTTTGGGTTGCGTACTTAAATCCAATCCTATCTGTTGAGAAGGTAAATAAGCTATGTAAAGCATTCGTTATTTTGACGAGTGAACCGTCACCTTTTAACGATAGGGTGAGATCTGTCGAGTCAACTCACGCGTCTAACTTCATTCCCCTGAAAACCTTTTTGACTTCATCTTTAGATGTTGCCACCTTGAACCCGAAACATAGCTCTTCCTGGGAAATTCGCAAACTTAGATCCTTTGTGTAATACAATTCTGCTTTGTTTTAGGATGTCATCATTTCAATATCTGGAGAGCCTAGTGAGGTGCAAGTGCTCTTCTATAATGGAGACGAAATTTTGCGGCATCAATGCAGGAAACAGTGAGTTTTATTTTTTCGTGGGACCTTCTTGAATTCGAGGCCCTGTACATAGGTGAAACTACCCCTGACTTTGTGCATGGCCGCCACTCTTCGACATGCAAGGTCATTGCCACGTCGACTTGAATAATATTGTCCGGTGCTGTTTTGGTACGGCGTGTATCACCCGCACACACATGCACTTGTGCGTATTGAAGGCTTTGCTAACCCAATTGTCTTTTGCAGGCATACTTTGTTACTAAAATCCTGGCAAATTTTGATTTATGTTTCCCAACCAGTAGATCAGAAGTGCTTGTGGACCTGCCTAGCGCAACGTATCCAACCTCAAACATCATTCTCGTGTAAATTTGTGCGATTTATTTAGATGAATTACCTGTTTTTTTTTCGTCGCACAGTAACAAATGTGAATGCCACACATGACATGTACGTGTCATCATTTCGATCTGGTGTTTAGGTTCGCATCTGCGGGTCAACCGGTGGAAGCACCCTCGGAAACATTGCCACGACCCCACCGTCGTCTTCGTTCTGCTTATGTCTTGAGACCTTTTGACGGAGAAATTGACGATATGACGGGTAAATTAACATTCATAGTTGCCCATTTCCAGATATCTTTTTCATACACTCATCATGGCTTCTGAGTCATTTCGCACGGAATCGTAAGGAAAAGGGAAGACGGTTTATTTAGTTTGAGGCATTTCATTTTAAAATTAACACTTTTGAGGTTGATTACTTTGAAGTCATTGACGAACTCACGTGCTTCCTAAATTAAACAGTTAATCCAAGGACTTTATGTAATTTTCTTACCTATTTATGAACCTGTTCCATCTCACAACCCTCTGGCTTCAACTCTGTTTCCCCAAACCGCATGAATTCCAGTAGTTCGAACTTCTTGCTAACTACTTCGTTAAGAGTGGTGGAGCCAAATCAGGTCAATTCCCCAAAAAATGCTGTTCAATTAGAACACCCCTGATAGTAGCAAAAGGCCTGTTTTTTTAGTTTTACATTAATATGTTAAATGTCATTGCATATGTGCTAGAAGCATTCAATACTTATGTCTACTGTGTTGTGTCATGCTTATTTATACTCATACTTAATCCTCAACTGAGGCAATAGAATAAATTTGCAGATGTGTGGGATTTTAAAAATTGTTACTGGCTTTTAAAATTAACACCGGAGCGGTTACTTTTTCCTTATTTACAACAGCTTTTCGTTCCCATAAGAAAAGTCGCATTTTCGTTGTTCAAGGCTTTCCATCAGTTGGGTGACGCCAGGTGCCTGGGTGACCTGACACCATGTTTTGTGAAATATTGTAGATGAATTGCCACCAAGTATCCCAGCGAACCTGTACAACTGGCAGGCAGCCCTGCATGAAGAGCAAAGCACAAGGACACCGCTGAGTCTCACCGTCTACCCACTTCTTGCTGAGGCCGCGAAATCCAGTTTTGAGGCATCGAGTAGCCTCGGTATTTGTGAACAGATGGAGAACGCGAAACGTGGATCAGACGGGAACTGTGGTCTTACCTCTTCGTTGGCGACTACTGACCAGGCATGTACTTAACCACGTGTGACTGCGTGTTTTGAGTTTCTAAGGTTCTCAAAGGTGGTTTTGTGGGGTTGTGGCAGGCTCAACGTCAGTGCACACTCATGTTTGTTCCCAAATACAACCTGTGTTAGCAGCATGCTCCCATCGGGAGTGTTAAACACCTCGTTTGTGACCTTATGTGTGTTCATTAAACACACATTGCCAATATTAGCATCCATCAGTTTTAAGACCAAGACACATTTCTGTCCCATGTAATCGATGATAGATCGGCTGTGACCTCGGGAATCATCACCCGGCCTAGCTGCCTGCTGTGCATTTATTTCATATTCATGATACTTCCAAGAAAATGGTTTTGAAGTACTGTTTCGAATCTGGTCACTATGTCACATTATTTACACCTTGATGATAAAAGCAAGATAATAAACTTATACCTCAACTTAAGATCCAATGGCCAAGCTACGAGAGTGATGCCCTTAGTGGAAACGGCGCCCTCTCAACGTCTTTTCGCGATAACAGTAATCTTGCGCCCATTGACAATTGGACTCCCAATGCCGACAGGTGTATGGCTATATCACCCCCCAGTAGCCCTCCGCGAATCCACCTTCAGCCCGACTCGCAGCTTATCTTCGCTCCGTGTAGGCCGGGGCTGTTTACTTGTGAGTGATGTTGCCTTGGTGAAACTGGTGGTCTTACAAGCCGGAATTAACCCAATAATCCGTGATAGGGGATACTTAATTCGGACCATTTAGCCAAAACAAATTCTCTTAAAGATTTTGACGCAGTTTTTACCCCAACTAACTATCCCATGTATACCTCAAAATCAGTGCTGTTATTATTTACATAGTGGAAGTTTGACCGTAATGGCAGTGGTGTGTTACCTCGTGATTGTGATTGTTCTTTTTTGGTTTTAGCTGCTACGCTCCAAGTAAGACTATTACCACCGGACAATTCAAATGTTGAGGGAAAAACCACAGCAGAAGTTCCTTCAGCCCGAAAACGACTCGCTTCTCTCTGGCGACTTTATTGGCGCGCTAGTCCACTCAATGGAACCGATGACTCTCCTTTCGCGCACCTAATTAGTCCCTGTGCTCTGCTTACCGCGGTGGGAAGAACACATCACCTTCCCTTCAAGTTCCGACCTCCCCGAGATGTGAAGGCTCAAACCCACTTCTCCCAGGAGTGGGTGCTCTCATTCCGCCTCACCAGGGAAGTCAACGGACCTGTGGCAAGCCTTCCCAAGGATCCTTCAACTTACGGACAGACACAGGAATTTCAAATTACTTTTATGGGCGATGCAATCGATGTAAGAAACTAATCTGCTACATACCTGTTACCAGTCGCTACACTGGGACCTAAACTGATGCTAGATGTTCCTACAAGCTGCCCCTTGTCCCTGATGTCACCACTTATCTTCAAATGGCCAACCACCTTTGTATTTTCACATCACAATAGCCCCAGTCGTGTGTGCTTGGCCGTCATTTAACCTGCTCGTAGTTCATGTCAGTGGCCGTTGTTGCTTGCAGTGTGGACGCGTGCGAGTCGACCTAAAAAGAAGGACTTCTCTATTCTCACATCACCTCTTTGCTCTGAGTTCTATGAACCGACTTTTGCAGTCGTTTTTTTTTATTTTAGACTTCAGATTTTCATCAACCCATCATTACCAAACTCCTCAAGACCAGAGGACATCCGGCCATATTTACTGTTGACCAGAAACAGCGCGAGGTACTTTGCTGTTTTTTATTATTTTAATCATGACTTTCCAGGTTGATTTAATTAACATTTCCTGCGATGAACGTCTGACAGTTCGACTGGGCCAAATCAGTTGCTCCTATTTTGAAATTCTCAAACCACGTAATCGGAAATTCTTTATCAAGTGAGAAAATACCTCTTGGAAAAACTCATATGGCTGCCTTTTTTAATTAATACAATGTTTTTTAGCCCTAGGTCTAGCGTGAAACTGCTCATTCAATGTCAACTTGAAGAAGAGCGCAGAGAAAACAAGGAAATGTCAGGTTTCCTGCCGTTGTGGTGGTCCACCGGCGAAGGAGCTGAGAGGCACCAAGTGGACATTTCTCTAAGAGCAATTTTGTAGATTGTAAACGATTTTTCAAAATTTACTTTTTACATCAAATTTATTGGATTTCGAGGAGACCGGACCCAATCCGCGAGGCACCTACATACAGTACGCTTTGGGTAAATTAGGCAAACTTCGGTAAAAAAGTATAGGTGTGTATTTGTTCGCGTTTTGTACAAATTTACACATCGAAAGCCTCCTTTCGACGCTTTTTAGGCACAGGCAACTAGAAAAAAAAAAGATTTTAGCTTTAGTATTCTCGTCAAAATGCCACATATCAGTGGGGGTTGTGGTTTGTCCTATGGGCAAAACTTAGCAAATGGTACTCCATTATGTAGAAACTAAACTTAGGTAAATTTAGAAAAAGCGGTCAAATAAAGTACATACTGATACAGAGTACGACCTAATGGCAATTTCTAGCGTTCAAGCTTTTGGCTAATACCGCAACAAACATACCATTCGGGGCACAGTCCCTCCAAGCCTCTTTCTGCTGGAGTTGCCAGCCCTCCAGTTGCGTTTGGCGCCAGGTGCCTTGAGGGCCTTTGCACAGGCCCTACGTGCACGAAGAGCAGCCAGTAAGGAGGCATCGATTTCGTCACCTGAATCCCCTTCATGTTCCACGTCTTTTAAGACAGAAGTAGTATCATCCTTCTTTGCACTTCCGTCGTTACCTTTCAGGAAATAGGAACAGTAGAGAAGATTAAGTAGATTATTAAACAATTAACATTTTGAGCACGTGGTCAGCTGTTAGGGTCATTGGAGGTTAGGGGACTTCCCAGTCCGTCCACTTGGGTTTCAACGATAACCGGCAAGTGGAGTCTCCGTATTTGTGGAAAGTAAATATTGTAAATAAGTGAACACAAAATAAACCTAAGCATGCGATCTTCTAGCTTTGTTTACCGGTACTTTCGCATTCACTGCTGCTTGGGTCAGAGTCATCGTCGCTCCCATCGAGGTCCTCCTCATCACCGTCATCTGTAAAACAAATTAAAAAAATCGAAACTCCATATATGAGATAGGTGCGATTGAAGGAACTGTAGCATAAGTTTAAAGGATTGGCATCGACAGTGCCGTTGACACCAATGTCAAAAAATTCAAGACAATCATTACCTGAAACCAATACTGCTCTTTTACAAAACCAAATAATCAGCAGAAATATCTAATTTCGAACCTTCGTTCACGTCGTCTTCGCTCGACTCCTCTCCAGACGTCTCATTCTTTGATTCGTTGCTCTGTTTATCTTCCTCGCTCTTCTCCACGTCTTGCTTAGCTTTCTTCATCATTTCAGAGAGAATGCATGATGAGGATGCGATACCATTTGTCGCGACTTCCTCTTTAATCGGTTTTTTAACAACCTTGTTACATGGAACGAGTTTTCCTTTGTTACTAGGTTGCTCATTTTCACTGGATTTTTCTACTTGCTTCTGTGAACGCGGTCTCTCACGTTTGGTATTCTTTGTGAAGTTGTCCATTGATTTTTCCGGCCCTTCATCTTCCGAGTCGGGCATTGGTTGAATAAGTACTTTGCCAATTCGTTGGCTCGGAGGCGGCTCTGTTTGAACGCGGGCGACGGGATCGGGTGTGAATGTCTCACTTAGGGTAGCAGTAGCAATGGAGGAATGTTTTTTTGCAGACTGCTTGAAGGCGAAGTTGACGCAGATAGGATTGCCCTTGAGAACGAAGTTATGGCACTGAGAGAAAGCGTCGAGGGCAACTGCATCAGAAACGTAGTACAGGGTTGCGGAGCTAAATGCCAAGTAAAAAAAAGTCTAGTTCATAGATTTATAGATATTAACACCATAATTTATTAGTGGGAAAAAGGGCCGAACTGGTCAGTGTTGCTGTCAGATTTTTCATCAGTCCCGTTATTGTAGAACACAAAGTAAGCCTTCTCAGTCGTTTGCATAAAAATATTTTAGGGATATCAGCATCCACCAAGGCAATTATCATTGTACATTTGAGATTGGTAACTGTTCCATTCATACTCTTCATTTCACACCTTTGTCTTAGCTACCTCACCTCAGTTGTCTCCACTCTACCTCGCAGTGACAGCTCGGTTAGGTGCTAATCCACCAGGTCATGGTCTCTCAAGGCGTATGCAAACTGCTCACTCTGTTGTGTCACCCAAACTTTGCATGAGACAGTAAGAGTTCTCTGCACATTGTCTTGTCCTAGTATGGGAGGCCACTTACTCACATGTGTTCTGCCTAGGTGCTTGTGCGGGAAAAGTCGTAAATGGGATGAACGATGTTAAGCATTCGGCAAACACCCACTCAGTACGGTAACAATTATTTTCGTCATGGCTGCACCTTAAATCAAACCCAGATTAGAATAGGTGGGTGTACTCCCATAACTGCAACCCTTGCCGACACAGATATAACAGGATTGAGCAAACTCATGATCCTAGTGCAATCAAGCGAGTGCCTGGTTGGGTTTTTTTCAGCAGAAAATCTGAACCTACGCCACTACATACCCGTAGTTGCACTTATTCGAAGCCGTTGGCATACGTATGCTATCCGCAGTTGAAAACAGGGTTTGTAGGTCGACCAAGTTTACGAGAGGCGAAAGGCCTGAGACAGTTATCCGCAAGAAGTCAATATCTTCTACCGTTTTGCCACCGTCCGATTGTGCGTGCTGACAGGACCGAAGCTCTGCACGCACCGACTGACCGGCAAATAGGCGGCCCGAAATGGACACCTTCTCTTTGGCTGCTGTTTCCGCATCGACAAATTCAACAAAGGCATAGCTGAAGGACGTAGGTTAAAAACATCACTCTGAATGTACAATTAGCTTTGTAGCAATATGGCGTATGTATGCGTATCGGCAACCGGCACTAAGTGTATTAAAATGAACGAATGTTACCAGTGCTAGTCTAACTTGATAAAAAGTTGTTCAAACCTTGACACTGCATCACACACCGGTGACTCAAACACTAGATCTGTTATCAAAAAAAGCCAATAGGCTAATACCTGAGAACGGGCGGGTCTTCCGTAACTTTCTTAAGAATTGCAGAGCTATTGACATTTCATCACAAGTGTGGTAGAAAATGCAATCACCATGTACCGCTAGTCGCAAAAACGGTAACGAGCCTAGCTAGTTGCGTTCAATTTGACTGCATAAATGTGCAAGGCAGCGTACATGGTTGAAGAATTTTCGTGCAAGGGTCAGTGGGAGAATAAGTTTGAAACAAAAAAACCAGCTTTCACACTACCATAAGTATCACATTTACTGATGGGAGGCAGTTAATTGCTGGAACAGCTAGCAAAAATAAATGTAACATAGAACATACGTGCGTAGCTTGGCCGATTTAGGTTTAGTGAAAAACCTGCAGGTTGTCATCGTTGGGATGAATTTTTTCAGCATGTCGAAGGTACAATTACTTGGAATAGGTGCAAGATATAAACAACGGGAGTTTAATTCAGCTAAAATATGAACATGAGAGCACTGTTATATACGCAGGACAAAGTATGATTGCGTCTGACTTATGACCGTGGCTTAAATTTTGGTTCGGTTTCAGACCCTTGGGGTACAGCAGTTGGCCAAACCGCCGTTATATTGGAGACTCCCGAGGGACTGAGCGGTAACAGTTGTCCATTGTTGCAATAAAGTTGACGATAATAGACTGCTGACAGATGAGATGGTCAATCGTGAAAATTAACAGAAACCGTACAAAATCCTACGCGATTAAAAAATGCCTAACACGAATACAGCCGTTGCCAATTCGATGACATTCTGTATCTAACACCGACAAATCACCTTATGATGAACCTCAAAACTTAAAATATTGCATGACTGCACTGAAATTCCTTAGCATAACTGCCGAGCGGTACTTTCGCCCGCATAACCAGCACTAATTGACGAAAAATGCATATTACTGAAGGCAGCTAGAGTGATAAATAAGCTCCTATACTCTTTCATGTTTCACAGTTTATGATTATCGTTCTAAGCATAAGAAAATAAACGCAAAAACGACACTCACCAGCACGTTTCTCCATTTCCCTAAAAATGGCAGCTTTGTCTGACAAGGAGAATTTAATGGCTTTGCCGCGATTTCCCAAATTTTTAGACTCCTTGTTTTTCTTCTCAAGTTCTTCCTAACATAAAAAACAAGAATAATTGACTAACTATTTATTCAATAAAAAGGATTTACCGATCTGCATATATACCTGGTCAATTAGAGCAAAGTACACTAATCAATCACACTACAACAAAATTATACTTTAGTTGGTTCAAATTTTCCACACAAAAACAGTAGAATTATTTTGACGAATTATAACATCGCGTATCGACAAGAGCTTGCTAGAATTTACTTAAATAAGACCTATATCCGCAGTGCAGAACTACTGTATGAAATAAAAAGGAGCGACCAAACATACCGAAGTTGAATTTCCAGCGACCTTCTTCAGCTCTGTGGCAGAAATGTCATTAATGGGTTCTGAAACGGAAATAAGATTACCTTCCAACTTCGTGGACATGGCAAAATACGTTGTAATTTAATAGAATCGTCCATTAGAAAATATCTGGAAGTTATTGCAATAGTTGTTATGCGATGTGTTCAGAAACCACATTTTGACCAGTTAGTTACCTTAGATAGTGTAGAAAATCTACTAAACATACAACAAGCAAGAATACATGGGAAATGCCGTATGCAAAACAGGATAAATTTCGAGTTACGAACATAAAGCAACAACGAACAAGGCATTCATATACCGTCACCGAATGCGATGACAACTCAAAACTATCTGTGGAAATTATCATAGCAACGATATTTCACAGAAGCAAGTAAGCTATGACCCTTGCATGTCAATGCAAATGCCATTTCCGTAAAGGCCAAAAATGAGTAAATTAAACACAAAAATGCATATAGCATTCAAAACTTCTAAATAGATTATCTCCTGCAGTTTGATGCCAATGAGACACACCAAATTCCAACAGGCTTCTTTGTGTGTGACATTATTTTCGCCGCGTTTCGAAAATTATCATTTTACAATTAGCGGACAACAATGATGCTCGGAACATCACTGTTTACGGACTACGCGGCGCTCAATACAGTGCATTGGACCCGGTAACTTTGTAATTGTGCAGCGCACCAGAAGAGAAGTTCTCTCAATGCTACAGCGTCTTCCTCAACGGTAACATAGAAACAGTGCGCTTGTCTACTTCATTTGTCGCATCATGGCTACATTTGGCAAATGATTAAACTGGCCCCTGTCTTGGTCAGTTAAATATGATCCAAGTGCAAAAAGTGCAACGAGGCAAAATCATACAAAACCAAACTGAGAAAACCGACCTTCCTCGACTTCGCTGTCGTTACTTTCATCACCATCATCACTGCTGCTGCTACTACTGCTGACGTTGCTGAGATCGGGCACCTCTTCGTCTATGTCTTCCTCCGAAGAGTCCAGGTCTTCTTCATCACTCTCGTTTCCATCGTTTTTTTCGGTACCAAAGTTCTCCTCAACACTCGAGTCATCAGCCAGTTCCCAATCGGCATGAATCAATTCTGGTTCACTATCACTGGAAGCTGCCTCCACCGGTTTCGCCATTTTGCGTTTCTTTGCAGACTCGTTGCCAGAAATGGAGGCTGCTGACTTACGCTTGCGACTGTGGCTCCCTCCACCAGCTTTGCATGGTGCTGCGAATAAACACGTCGCCTTTTACATATTTAGGCATTAAGGTACTTTTGAGAAACGAAAAATTTTACATCCCCGTGTGTTGCAAACGGTTTTGAGGATTTCAGCCCACGACTATGATGGCATTTTCATAAGGTTCAATTTAGGTAAACAGTCATAAAATTAGGGCCCAAATAAAGACATCGTGATTGCTGCGAAGTGCCTTACAACAATTAAACGCGTTACTAAACGGTTTCCTATACTTTACATCAGGCGTGTCAAAGTCAAATTTATAAATATCATCCAAAAATAACTTACAAGCGATTTCTGGTGTTAAAAAGTATAAATTTAATAAACTATTTTAGGAAAAACAATAATACAAATAATCCAAGATAAAGCAAATGGTAGACAAAGCGATGAATCAAAATAAAAGTCTCATCTAGGCAAGAGGTAATTTCGCTCCCATTCGATAGGGAATGGCTTTCAGAAATGCCTTCCAACACCGGTTAGTGTAACACAAAAAAGGGCCATATTTTGTGGAATCTGTGGAGTAAAAACGGCAGAGTACACGTATGACGTTCAATGAAGTAAAAAAGGATTACAAAAGGTTCACGACCAGTACTGTACCGTAAATACATTTACCATTACTTAAGGCATTTGCCTTCGTAGGGGAGTCCTGTATCGTGGGTATCACTTTTTGCCCAACCACTTCATTCGATTGCTTGCCACGTTTTCTCTTCCTTTTGCTTTTTCCGATTTCTCTCTGCTGCATATCAGCCTTTCCTGGCAATGGTTCAGGGCTAGCATCCAAATCACAACCTTTCCGATTACCACGATTCCACTTTTTCCCCTTCCTAGAACAAACTGAAGTAGATGGTGCGACCAGTGAGATCGAACGATCTCTCGTTTCAGCTTTACCAACAGCCACTCCAACCTCAGCATCGGAAGCAACTGCACATATATTCCGAAATTTTCTGGACTTTTTCACCATATTCAAAAGCTACATAAAGAAAAATAGAAAATACCTCGAGCTAAAAAATATTAAAAAGCCGACACACAAAAAATATTTGAAGAACATAATAAAAAGAACAAAAAATAAATACAATACAAGAAAACTATTCATAGTCACCAAAAAGCCCAGTAATTAACAAAAGAAACCTATATGAGCAGCACCATCTTGACATCAAAAATTGAAACAAAATAAACCGAAATTTATTTCCAACAATGCATGAAGCATACGCAACTGGACTTGCCAATAATAAAGTGGAGAGACACGCCAGAAATGGCACAGCCTTCTGAACACCCAGGTCGTTTTATGCACCTATCTACACCATAGGTGTTGGGTGCATTCGATGTGCGAACAAACTACAGTGGTGCATAGACATTTGGGTCGCTGAGTCTTGATGCGCACCATAAAAACCAAATTGTCTCATACAACAAGAGGCAACTGAGGTAATACACTAATGACGGAAAAGTGTACAATCCAATAGACTAATCGTGGCCACCTTACAAAGTACACCAACCAAACATTCGCACATGCGAAGTCAATACAAACCATCTGTCATCAGCGTCCAACCCCGACTGTTACCAAGCACTACAGGCAGGTGTGAATAGCTGAATCTTGATTTCGCACAAGTACTGAAAATCTCCACACGACAAACGGGAAATTCATCAACATGTGCAATGCCCTCTTCATATGAAACACAAATTAGCACCAAACAACAAGGCATGAAGCATACGCAACTGGACTTGCCAATAATAAAGTGGAGAGACACACGCCAGAAATGGCACAGCCTTCTGAACACCCAGGTCGTTTTATGCACCTTTCTTCATTTAGGCGTAAGATTGATTTGATACTTTGGTTTTGCCTCCTAAATGCAATTTTTAGTATATGTTTATCTTTAAAACTCTTCCTACTCTTTTTAGTTAGTGTTACGTATGTATGTTTGCACATTTTACCGTTTTTTGTGCATTGTTGTTTTTCGATATGGTGGTGACTTACCGTAATAATTTGTTTATATATTAATGACATTTGATATTTCCTGTGTTATTTTAAAGCTATATAATGAAAAAGCTAGCCTTTATGGCCTTAAATTTTCTATATTACTTCATTTAAATGCTTGCATATATTTTCTGACGTTTTTCACGTTCAATTTTTTCCAACTTGTTAATATATGAAGATCTTTTACTGGGAGCATGTTTTTATGCAGCCTTTTTTGTTGCCAACCTTATTTGTCTTCTTTAAATCAAAATCTATCGTACAGTTCAGTAACCATCTCTTTTTGTTTAATGCAACCAGGATTAGGGAAAATCTTTTTACCCTGGCATATCATTCTCAAATGTCTTCTTTGAGGCCTTGTTGGACCTAATTCTGACAAAAATATGAAGTCTTTTGCGGAGCCCGCATAAGTCTGTATCATTTAGACATATTTTTTTTCTGTACACCTTATTGGTGCATTTATCAAAATCGAACTAGCGTAAATCTATAATGCTGCTTACTCTGAAATACAATAAAAAGGAGCGCAAGGGCACAGATTTCGGGTGTGCTATAAAGTTTTTGTGCAAATATTCTGTTTGTACGGACGTTGGAAATTTGGAATTAACTCTTCTTGGCATAAATGTCGCATAGTGGACAAGCCCTCGTAGGACGACTATTCTAGAAATTAATTTTTTTCTTCCAACAAGCCCAAACCGTCTGTCAGGTACATTCCTTGTCATGGCTGCTCTAACCAATGATTTTTTCTAAGTAGTCATTCCTGTCTCAGATTAGCGTGCAATCTTTTAGTTTAGACATTAAATTACTTAAAGGCAGAGGAGACGCTCAGTGTTGTTGGTCTATGAAAATTGGCCTAAACCACGATGGAGCCGACTAAGTGTCTACAAAGATTAAGAAGACCAATGAAGACGAGGCTCCCCCATTTACTAGACAGCTCAACCTGGTCGTGTTGTGTTGACTGATACAGTTGAGTGGATTAGAAAAATACAGAAATCTGAATAGTCACAGGAATGAAGCTTGAGGTGGTCGTTCATGCAGAGGGGCAAATAAGCAGGCTGTCTCAGTGACTGACGGCCACGTCGTAAATAAGTGTACCTGTGTGTGAGACTGCGACGACCAGGTTATGAGACGTGAATTAACACGAATCATTACATCGGCGCGGCTTGCTTTGGTATTTTTGCGCTAAGTAGGACAGCCAGTGTTTGCAACTTGTAACTTGCTTAGTTGTACGATCTAAGAAGTGCTACCGACCAATGTGCCCTTAAAGAAAGCCACCATATAAATTTCAATTCCTTTCACTTGAAAGCATATTCGAAGTAGAAGGAACTTAGTATATTTCATAGTGCAGAACACAAATGCCGAGAAGTGTCGCAATTTACTAAGGAAATTTATGCAAATTTCAGAGGTTGGTACTTGTAACTTAATATTTGAGATACCGAAGACAAGACAGGAACTTGAGCAGAGGTTTTTTTAGCTTTAGCCACAGTTTTGAACACAAACTGGCGTCAGAGATTGAGTCCAGTAAATTTTAAAATGCGCCAACTCAAATATGCCTGGCGTTCTGAGGCCAATGAGTTTTGTAATTAAAATTGCGTGATGAGCTGCTCATGTCAAAGAGGATATAGCATGGCTGTGGAGTTCAAACTGTGTGGGTGAATACGCGTAATTACAAGTCACTAATCACAGCATCAGTTAAGTTATTTTAAGAAACATTAACATCTCTAACAAAAATCTGAGGCACAGGAAATAAGTTATTATGCGATTAGGGTTAGGATGGCCGTTATTGTTCCAAAATTTATTAGAAGTCGAAAGGAGTAATTAATGGAAAACCAGATAACGAGATGAAGCAGATCAATTACTGTAAGCGCTAGGGCGCCGTGGACTGCCAAATCAGTATCCTCACATATGTGGTATTTGATTTTTTGCTCCACTTTAGTATGTGCAGGATTGATTTTTTTCATTATTTGCTCGGGTTATTTTATTAAAACAATAAATAATTATGACCAAATTTATGACCTACACCAAGATGTTGTACATGGAGATTCGCGTAAATATATATGGTAAAAAGGCGTTAAATCCTTTAAAATCTTTTTAGTATCTTGGTCAAAGAGAAATTGTCTATTCTCTTTAATAATACCTGAGCACTTGGTTGCAAAAGATCATGAACACAAAGCAAGACTATTCTACTTATCACAAGCCAAATCCTCACAGTACCTCACACTAACCACTATTTTAGGGAAAGGTCTGGGGTTCGATTTGCGTTATTCGAACGCATCCGCTGCCACCAATGTAGAATACCCGAGCCATAATAAGAAACGGACCGGTACAACAGAACAGGGTTTATTGACTAATCAGAAGCCAGAGCCATGAGTCAGGCGCCTTCCATCCGAGTCCACCACGCCGGCCACGCCGCTCATTAAATGCTGCATCTCATCCGTGTCCTTCTCTGGTTGGCTGCTTATCTTTCTCTCATGCCATTGTAACACAGAGAGACACAGGATTGGCTGCGAACAGGTGGTCCAACATGTCTGCGCCCTGGTCCGACGCTACTGTAGAATACCCGAGCTCTAATAGGAAAAACATTGGCACAACAGAACAGGGTTTATTGACCAATCAGAAGCCAGAGCCACGCGTCAGGCGCCTTCCATCTGAGTCCACCGCGCTGGCCACGCCGCTCATTATATGCTGCATCTCATCCGTGTCCTTCTCTGGTTGGCTGCCTTCCTTTCCCGCATGCCATTAGATCGCAGGGAGACACGGGATTGGCTGAGGCCAGGTGGCCCAACATGTCTGCGCCCTAATCCGACTCCACACCACACTACACTGCACCACACCACAACAATTTTCCTGGTATCACAGGATGGGTGAGCCTGGGTCATCTGACCAAAGCGAAATACGAGATGACCTGAACGCTTTTGGTTTATCTATTGATGACAACGATCTGCAAGAATGTAAAGACCGTCATTTGTAATTGCCTTTAGTCGCTGGTCTCTGCAATAAATA